TCCATCCATCCATCCATCCATCCATCCATCCATCCATCCATCCATCCATCCATCCATCCATCCATCTCATAATTTGCAACTCTGGGTAGCTAACATCAGGTTAAAACAAATAACAACCAATAACCCCCAATAAAAACAACAATAAGTACCAAAATACATCTGAGGCCAAACACAATCTTAATCCTTTCAGACGGGGCTCATCTATAACATCCTGGCTCACTGCCTGGGGGAAGAGCCGGGTTTTCACGGCCTTGCAAAAGGCCAGAGAGTTGGGACCATCTGAACCTCAGGAGGAATGCTGTTCCACGCAGCAGGAACTGCAATGAAGAAGGCACGCTTCCTGGGTCCCATCAGATGTCATGCTCTACAGAGGGACCTTGGAGCATGCCCCTCCTTCTGGATCTTGTGGGACAGGCAGAATTGATTGGAGATAGGCAGTCCTGCAAATTACCCAGCTCTGTGCCATGAAGACTGATTGTATGTTGCACAAACCCAGCCAATTAGCTACAGCAAGCTACTGAGCCCAGGCAGCCATGCCCAAACTTTGTCCAGCAAAAGGAGGAGACGCACCTTGGCGACGTAAGCTGACTGCAACAGAGCGTGCGCCAAAGCGGTTCCAGGCCGTGCAGTTGTAAGGAAGCGCAAAGTCGTCATCGTGGGTTGGGTCGATCAGCAGAGCTGAGAGCACCCCTTGCTCGGTCACTACGGTGTCCACTGTGAAACGATCCAGTGAGCCAGCATCCAGCATCCGTTCGCCCCATGCCCATGCCTGGCGCAGAAGAGAAAGTTGAGACTAGGGGCCCTGGGGAGAAACTCGATAGCTAGCACCTGCGTGGCAGCTGCCATGTGGAAGTCCTTTTAGAAAATAAACCTCTTGGCTGACTTTTCTTACTCATGGTTAATACTGAGCCGGGCATCACCAGCTCAGAAAAGGTGTTTATTACCTGCATACAACTGCACATCTCATTTGTCTTTTCTTTTTTCTGTTTGCAGACTGACTGGAGGAAAAAAAAATGGCTGGAATTTGCATAGGGAAAATGAAGCCACCTGGGAAAGTGATTTGGAGCTGCAAGCTATATGCTGGCTTGTTCTTGGCCCCTTTGGTATGGCGGGAGTAGAGTTAGATCATTTTCCCCCCCTCCAGGGATTCCATTTTTATTTTTAAATTCTTTTTAGCCGAGAGTTGTAGGGGTGGATGGCTGGTGATACGGTTTCTTTTTTTACAGGGAAAAAAAAAATGCATGGAGGGAAAAATGGGAACTGCAGAGAGCCGTGCTATCGCAAGCCACATCAGGGATTTGTGACTGTATTGGCTACTTAGAAAACCAGGCACATGAGAAAGCGGCACCAGTCACGGAGAAGCTGCCTCCCCTACTTGTTCAGGGAGAAATGAAAGGGAGAAGCCTGTGTTCCCTGCAGCTAAGAGCACTGGCATTCTGGGCCACAGGAATCTGGATTCAGTGACCCGTATGCAGTCTGCAAATAAAGCAGCTTTGCCCAGACAGCTGGCTTTCACTTTTGTGCAATTCATCCTGCTTTGGCTTGGCAGCCAAAGGAAATGCTGACTGCTGAGATCCTGCACTGACACCATCCACCCCCTAGAAGCAGGGAAGCACTTAGGTAATTTTAAATTCTGGACCTAACATTTTACAAGCCCCCCCCCCCCCCCCCCGCC